TGTCGTCATGCCATCTTTTTTGCGGTCTACCCCTTTTCCTTTCTCTAGGATACCATCGTGTCATCATATTGCTCCATTTGTATTTTCCTCCAACCATATGCCCTGCCCAACGCCATTTAAGCTTTCTAATTTTGCACCTTATGTCTATTATCTTTTATTTGCTTTGCTAGCTCATATATGAGCTATTTCAATAACGCGTTCCAGTTTGAATGGTGGGGCAACCGTTATGCTTTTTTTTTTTTTTTTTTTTATATTGCGCGTTCCCCTGACGAGTAATTGTCAGGGACATTTATTAGGCTATTTTGCTATTTTTCCAATTATCTTTTTTGTTTTCTATTTGTAATGTTGGATTCATGTTTCGTTTTCCATAATTATATAATATTCGTTTCTGTTCCCTTCCTATACTTATACTTTAATTCCCTTATATTTTACTTATATGCCTATTATTATATAACCGTTATGCTACCCAAATAAGACTTAGACTCATGTTTTAAGGTTCTTCTTCTTCTCAATCGGGTAACTCTTGACGGAGTGGTCGTGATCGTTATGTAGTGTTGGAGAAGGCAAACTTGATGCGTCCCGTGAGATATCGTGATCCCAGTCCTCTGTTTAAAGCTCCATGAGCTCACCTACTCGCTCGGTTACGCTCGCAAAAATTTTTATAGTTACCAGATTGGGTAGGTTTAAAAAAAAGTTATATCCCGCCGTATGCACTCATTTAGGAGACCTCCCACTGTCTGGACATAGGTGGCGGCAATTACGTTGTAATGTCCGTAGGTACCGGCGATCAAATAAAAGCAGGTGTGCCGCGAGTTCGTTCACCCCTCTACGCAATGTAAATTAAAATTTTATATTTGAATCAGCAATGAACATGCAATAAAAACTAATACATATAACCACGTTTCACAAAATTGAGACAATAATATTTACTAGAGGTCCCACAGTAGTCGAAATTCGACTATAATTAATTGGAATTCTAAGTTTGTACACTATTATGATTGTATTTTATACTTCTATAATCACAAATTTCGCCAAGACTACACTATAAAAAATATTAACAAAGACAAACAATATGTAATCTATTCTCAATTTGACAACAGACGTCAAGAACAAAAGTTTGACAATAAATAGTATGCGTGATAGTATGCATGCGTGTGTGCGTCAAATAAATGGTATGAAGGGTGTGTAATGTTTTCTTTGTTGATTTAATGTATCTTTTATGCATTATTTTAAAAAAATATTAGCATTGTGCACTTTTTCTCTATATTCTCTTTGTTGATTTAATGTATCTTTTATGCATTATTTTAAAAAAATATTAGCATTGTGCACTTTTTCTCTATATTCTCTATAAGTGTGGGAAATTTCATAAGCCCACACTCCTCCGTATAATATACCTACATCTATATATTAATACATGAAGCAAAAACTTTGTATCCCTTTTTAAGAAAATTGCGCGGACGGAGGAGTATGAAATTTTCCACACTTATAAAGAATATAGAGAAGGAGTGCAGAATGCTAATATTTTTTTCATTATGCATAAAAAATACATTCAATGAATAAACAAAACATTACACACATTACCATATATTTGACACATACATATAGTTACACATATAGGCGAAATTTGTGATTATAGAAGTGTAATATAATATAACATATATAACATAAGAAAAACTTATAATTTTAATTAATTATAGTCGAATTTCGAATACCGGGAGACCATCAGTTGACTTAAAAACGTCACGGCTTACATAGGCTACAGTTGCGTTCGTATTATTCAATAATCGAGGTGATATTTGACACTTAAAAAATCTGTTCAGATTAGGCCCACGCGACCAAAGTTTCGACGGCCGATCTCTTATCTTATCTGCATCTCTATAATGGCCTTGAGATGGCATGTGAGGCAACGTCCTCACCACGAACGTTAGATTAAGTTACCTTGCGCGGTTTAAAGATATGCGATTTGTTTCACGAGTCTTAGATGAGTTCCACATTCGTGCTGTTACACACACAATATAGAAATGCGCTATGCAGACTTGAAGATTACCTAATCCATGAATCAGCCCGCTGAGTTTCTCGCCGGATCTTCTCAGCGGGTCGCGATTCCGATCCGGTGGTAGATTCTGCGAAGCACTGCTCTTGCTAGGGCGAGCGAGTGTTAGCAACATTCCTGTTTGAGCCCCGTGAGCTCCCCTACGCGTTAGGGCAAAGCTGAAATAGCCTCTCAAGGCTATCAGCATGGGTAGGGAAAAAAAAAGTGCCGGTCTGCACTTGATTGATGTGTTTAGACCTCCTCACCCAAGCTCAGGAGTCAGTCAGACCCGAATTCTCGCGGGAACCACACAGAAATTCTTAGATTGCATTTTTTTATATATTCAATTATTATTGTTAATTCAATTATTCTTGCTAAGGCATCGACTTGGCTCTGCCCCTGGCATTACTGAAGTCCATGGGCGACGGTAATCACTCAACATCAGGAATCCTCGTCTGCCTACACGGGCACTAAAAAAATAGTAGATTTTTGTTGTAATTAATAATTAAATTAATAATATTAATATTAATATTAATTTAATATTATAATTTAGTATTTAATACATAAATATTATATTGTATATATTATACATCGAAAAAGATAAGTCGATGTTTTAACAAAATTACATTATTATTTATTGTCATTATTATTAGTTTTTTTAGACATCTACAACGTAAATGCCGCCACCTATCTCGAGATACAAGTTCTAAGGTCTCAAGTATAGTTACAACGGCTACCCCACCCTTCGAACCGAAACGCATTGCTGCTTCACGGCCACGACGACTTCGACTTAGTCAGTCCAGCACTCATATAAATATTAGCCTATCCATTAAGTACATGTATTTTCTACATGGATACCAAGTTTCAAGTCAATCGGATGCACGGTTCAGTAGTTATAACGGAACATCCGTAAAAACCACTGTAGATTTATATATTAGTATAGATTTGTTGCACTCAACTCAGAGCCCATTGAGGGTTAAGTCGTAACCAGCTCTTTCAGACAATAGAACAGGGAATCTATCTTCCAATCGCCACCCACCTCGCGAAATGACATCGGACACTCAATTGTTTTGTGAAACGGATGTCTCTCCAGTGCGGAAAGCATTTATTTTATAATATCCGACATTTCAAATACTACAGGAGTTATGACGTCAGACAGGCGGCAGATCGTACAACTTTTTATTTATTTATTGCTTAGATGGGTAGACGAGCTCATAGATATCTACAACGTAAATGCGCCACCCACCTTGAGATATAAGTTCTAAGATCTCTGTATAGTTACAACGGCTGCCCCGCCCTTCAAACCGAAACGCATTACTGCTTCACGGCAGAAATAGGCAGGGAGGTGGTACCTGCCCGCGCGGACTCTCAACAGGTCCTACCACCAATAAAAACTCTGGCGACCAACTCTGGCCAAGTCCCTATGAAGCATCATAATGCTTTTGTAGTGCATCCACAATGTTTGCGATATCTCACACCGATGACTTCTTTGCAACAATTCGAAAGATAAGTGCATCGTTATTGCGTCGAGTCAGAGACAGAGGCAACGGTCTTCTGAACATCATATCGAGCAAGATCGAGGGACTGCTGATTAATAGCCTTTGCAGCAGGCACTTGGAATGAAAAAAAAAGGAATAATATATTTTTAAGTTACTAACATAGATTATAAGTAATTCTTACTAACAAAATGTTATGGTTTTAAAAAAAAAAAACTAAAATTAAGTACTACATAGTATAAAACAAAGTCGCTTTCTCTGTCCCTATATCTGTCTGTCCCTATGTATGCTTAAATCTTTAAAACTACGCAACGGATTTTGATGCGGTTTTTTTTAATAGATAGTGATTGAAGAGGAAGGTTTATATGTATAATAACATCCCTTAAATAGTGGAGAAATCAATAATAAATTACAGTTTCCGAAGCGAAGCGAGAGCGGGTCGCTAGTAAATAAATAAATAAAATAAGGGGACATTCCGCGCCGACTACACACAACGCGGGATAAGGGCAAGAAGAAAAATAATTTGACAAATACATCTTTCTCTGCCACGGAAGATTAATATTACTGGTGGTAGGACCTTTTGTGAGTCCGCGCGGGTGGGTACCACCACCCTGCCTATTTCTGCCGTGAAGCAGTAATGCGTTTCGGTTTGAAGGGTGTGGCAGCCGTTGTAACTATACTTGAGATCTTAGAACTTATATTTCAAGGTGGGTGGCGCATTTACGTTGTAGATGTCTATGGGCTCCAGTAACCACTTAACACCAGGTGGGCTGTGAGCTCGTTCACACATCTAAGCAATAAAAAAATATTAAATTTACATTACAAATGTCGCGTCTGGCGGTCACAACCGCTCTAGGGGAAACCGAATGAAGTGCAAGATGATTGTACAAAGAGCCACGAAGGTCTTTCAAGGACACGACCTTCAGCAATGAAGTATGCGACTAAGAAGAAATATCGTAAACGGAATACACTTAAAACACATCTACCCGATATCTATATATTAATACGTGAAGGAAAAACTTTGTATCCCTTTTTACGAAAATTGCGCGGACGGAGGATCATGAAATTTCCCACTCTTATAAGATAATATAGAGAAGGAGTGCAGAATGTTAATGTTTTTTTTAAATTATGCCTAAAAAATACATTAAATCAATAAAAAAAAACATTACGCACCCTACCTACCGTGTATTTGACGCACACACGCATGCATACTATTTATTTATTGTCAAACTTTTGTTCTTGACGTCTGTGTTCAAATTGAGAATAGATTAAATATTGTTTGTCTTTATTAATATTTTTCTACAGTGTAGTTTTGGCGAAATTTGTGATTATATAGGAGTATAAATAAATAGTCTTCGAAAATAGAATCATAATAGTGTACAAACTTATAATTTCAATTAATTATAGTCTTATTCCGACTACCGGGCGACAACTAGTATAGAAACAAAAATTGTATCGTGTAATATACTCACTTAGCCCAATATTCGTCCCAATTGGACTCCTTCGTCGACCCGTATCCCCTGGGCAGCGTGGCGGTTTTAGCTCGGCCGTTCAAAGATGAAGACGATCCTCTTTTGTCGGGTAAACTAAGAACGGAGTGCCTTTGTACCGGCTCTGACCGGAAAGACTGAAACGATATTCTGGAGCCCATCTCATCATATTTGAGACTGGTTTGGGAGCCTCGAAGGTTATTCGTGATAGGTTGACTGTATTCCTCGCTGCCCTCGCAGGGTCCATGGTGGTTCGTAATAGAATTACTGTGGATAGGCGGCTTAGGAGCCCTACGGAGCTCGCAATCGGAACGATTGAAAGACGTACTCCTCTTCACTGACTTCGGTGATTCTTGGACGCTGGTTATCGAAGGCATTTTCGATTTCTGCTCCAAATCGATCTCCTGTTCCAGTTGAGTTTGGACGTGAGCTAACATCTCCTCTAAATCACCGAGATCCGGATTGATGTTCATTTTTGAGCGACGCATTTTTTTTAAGACACCAAAAAACTTCACTACACTGCTAAAACAGTTTTATTTTCACGAAAGGGTTCTGTGTCGAATGTTTTTTTTTTGTTACGTATCGGACACGTGCGCCCGCGCTCACGATCGATGCGCGAATGACACAGTTCTCGATAAGTAAAGGAAAAGGAGGCCCGCCAATGACTTCCATATGAATCGGACATAACTTTTTCCGTTCGATTACAAATACGAGTAAGGTTGATTTTATTGATTATAAAACGCATTTAGTGACACAAGACATAAAATTTTGCTTACTGATTTAAGTAGGTTAGTTTTTTTCCGGTACAGATTAAATTTACGGTTGGTAGGACGTCTTGTGAGTCCGCACGGGTAGATACCACCGCCCCGCCTATTTCAGCCGTGAAGCAGTAATGTGTTTCGGTTTGAAGGGTGGGGCAGTCGTTGTAACTATACTGAGACCTTATAACTCATATCTCAAGGTAGGTGGGCTTTACGTTATAGATGTCTATGGGCTCCGGTAAACACTTAACACCAGGTGGGCTGTGAGCTAACCCACGCATCTATGCAATAAAAAAAATTTAATTAATTTTCTTATATATATAAAACGAATATTTGTTGCTATGCTTGTTTGTTCGAGTTTACGGCGACCTGTTATTATTAGTGTTCACTGAAGCCCATTGACATCAGAACATGCTGCCACTGACTTAGAGACGTTCGGATCTTTTAGTCGTATCGCGTAAAATCTGTCCGAGCTTTCTAACCGCCTGATTACTACATTAGTTTTAAAATTAGTAAAAAAATTGTTTACATGCAAAATTCATTAGCGCTTTTTAAAAACTTTAGAATCATTGTGGGTTAACATTTCTGCGGTATTCCAAATTATATTCCTTTATTGCCCTTGTAGGCAGACAAGCATACGGCCCACCTTACGGTGAGTGGTTACCGTCGCCCATGGACGTCAGCAATGCCAGGGGCAGAGCTGAGGCGCTGTCTACCGTTAATATTTTTTTATATTTTTTTATTGCCTAGATGTGTGGACGAGGTCACAGCCCACCTGGTGTTAAGTGGTTACTGGAACCCATAGACATCTACAACGTAAATGCGCCACACACCTTGAGATATAAGTTCTAAGGTCTCAGTATTGTTACAACGGCTGCCCCACCCTTCAAACCGAAACGCATTACTGCTTCACGGCAGAAATAGGCGGGGCGGTGGTACGTACCCGCGGGGACTCACAAGAGGTCCTACCACCAGTAATTACGCAAATTATAATTTTGCGGGTTTGATTTTTATTACACGATGTTATTCTTTCACCGTGGAAGACAATCGTGAACAATTGTTAAGTACGTATTTCATTAGAAAAATTGGTACCCGCCTGCGGAATTCGAACACCGGTGCATCGCAACATACGAATGCACGGGACGTCTTATCCTTTAGGCCACGACGAATTCAAATAATATACCGTTGTCTGTTAAACAATTAGCTATAAATATAGGAGAATTCGTCATAATACAACATTAACTAATTTCCTCCTTAAATTAAGTTAATAATAATGCAATTTAGCACGTACATTAGTGTTCATTACATTATTTGCGACGATTGAAATATGATTTTGAAATTTTTAATAATATCTTCCGAGTTCACAAACTAAGGTTTATACAAGTCAATTATCATTTGAAGACAATGATTATTTAATGTTTCGGTGTTCCTAATTGGCATGGATTTAACAACACTTGCACACTGATTAATCGGAACAATTTAACTCTGCGTGACGTCATTCAGGGTTGCCAGCTACGAAGAAACTATTGGGTTATCGGTTTCTGGCTGAAAAACAATTCAATTTAAAGTACCTAGTACAAAGTTATTCAATATTCTCTTCAATTCTCACAGCAAGAACACTCAATTATAATACATTTACTAAAGTGCTGCCATCTAGTGTCTATATAGTTTTTTTTTTTTTTTTTTTTTTTTGCTTNTTTTTTTTTTTTTTTTTTTTTTCTTAGTTGGTGGACGAGCTCACAGCCCACCACAGTTAAGTGGTTACTGACACCTACAACGTAAATGCGCCACACACCTTGAGATGTAAGTTCTAAGGTCTCAGTATAGTTACAACGGCTGCTCCACCCTTCAAACCGAAACGCATTACTGCTTCACGGCAGAAATAGGCGGGGCGGTGGTACCTACCCGTGCGGACTCACAAGAGGTCCTCCCAAAAAATGGGCATAACCCCAGCACGCACAGAGACGGCTAAATTATTTTCCCTATCTAAAAGACGAAATTTGTATATTTACTAATAATGACTAAGTATATCGAAATCCCTTATCGATAACCAAACGCAGTTTCCTATAAAATGACTCACTACGTAACTCTCGAGGACTTGACACACGCGAAATTTCTTTGTAAAAAAATATATGTATACATATATGCATATATAAAACAGGAAATCGTTCGGTTTGTCATAAAATATTGATAATCGATTAGACCTAGATGATGATTTTACGTCCGGCCAGTATCAGGGAATACCGTTACGCGTCACCGGCCAAAGTTAGCTACCAGTTTTTTCTTTTCTTTACATATCCGCTGGTAGCCTATTGTAGCCTATATAAGAGGCTATTCCAGCTACGACAGGACGGGTAGTTGAGCTCACGGGCTTAACCTGAGAGAATTTGCTAACACTAGCCCTAGCAAGAGCAGTGGTTCTCAGAATGTAGATTCTGACCGAAGTAGGCGCCGAAATATCTGATAAGACTCTGGGAAAGACAAATCCGAAGATAATGAGATTAATCGTATTTCTATGAGACCTAAAAGACTAAAACATACATTAACAAACAACTCAAGTCCGTGCGGGTAGATACCTACCACCACCCTACCTATTTCTGCCGTGAAGCAGTAATGCGTTTGGGTTTGAAGGGCGGGGCAGTCGTTGTAACTATACTTGAGACCTTAGAACTGATATCACAAGGTGGGTGGCGCATTTATGTTGTAGATGTCTATGGGCTCCAGTAACCACTTAGCACCAGGTGGCTGTGAGCTAATCCACCCATCTAAGCAATAAAAAAAAATTAAGGCAAAGTTTGGCAATCCAGGCGTTTAGTAACAGAAATCGAAATATTTACTTCAGTGCGCCGCGTAGGTCACCGGTGACCTACACGTCGGGTAAAAGGGTTAAGGAACAGTCGTTGAACTCATCAAACACGACGAAGAGTTCGACGAGCCAACTAACCCATAGACACAGCCCAATGAGTTTCTCGCCGGATCTTCTCAATGGGCCGCGATTCCGATCCTGTGGTAGATTCAGCAAAACAATTTTTTTGTATTGCTTAGATGGGTGGACGAGCAATATTTCATGTTTAAATTAACATCATGTAAACTATGAGTTCTCGACTAAAGCAAAAAAGTTAATAGAATTTTTTTACTATTTGCAATTTCAATAACTGTATGCCTTCTCACCTAGTTTATCAATTTTATTGCGTCATGTTTCTCTTTTTTTTTGTCAAACAAATGCCAAAGCGTGACATTATTAGGTATTATAATCGGCAGAAGTGTGTTGTGGTACTGAATTATCGGCCGCTTCCCGTTTTGATAATTCTCATATTATGTTTTATACATATATGTAATTATACATTTTATTATTTCCTTATAAAAACAAAAAAAAAATATTTTGGTTTATTGGAAAGCACGATTAAAATATAAATATATAAACTTAAGAAGAAATTTTAATAAAAAGAACACGCAATGCACTAGAAAGTTTGTTCACACAAAGTCCAAATTTAGGACTACCTCAGTGTTTTTTTTTGGCATACATAAATAGAAGAGCTCACGGACGACCTGGTGTTAGGTGGTTACAGGATTCCGTAGACGTCACAGCGTAATTGCCACATTGTATAAAGCGTGTCTCACCTTCCCAAAGTGGAACGCGTGATAGCTTCGCGGCAGAAATGGGCAGAAAGGTGATACCTACCCGCTCGGACTCAGAATAAACCCTACCAGGAAAATACTCGCATAGTAGTTACCTAAAATGCTACAACCGGGTCTCAATAATAATTAACTCAATAGTAGTTAGCTCAGTGACCAGACTTCAAATTAACGAATTAAAAACTAATAATATTTAATTACTAAAAATAATGTCAAATCTCGATATTTCAAAACAAGCTACTCTGACATTACAGCTGGCTGACATTAACATGCCAAATACAAACTATTGTAACTTTTGAGCACATGAGCAGCTGCGAGACATCCATAACTTTTTCTAATACTCCTAATTATGCAATGGAATTCAATGACATTAGTGAAAACATTTAAAATGCCCATTATGACACGCACCTGTGTCCGAATCATAATGATTTACAATTTTAAAATAAGTCAATCGGAATAGTGCTGGAGCAGTGTGCTTAGTGAGAGTTTTTTAACTTCACGATCGCGTAAAAGTTAACTCAAATTTGTATGGAGTTGGAACAACGGTTTGGTAGGCAGCGGCTTGGCTCTGCCCCTGGCATTGCTGAAGTCTGTGGGCGACGGTAACCACACACCATCAGGCGGGCGTGTGCTCGTATGAACAAAAGGGCAATTAAAAAAACAGCATCGCTACGTTTGCCGCTAGGGGCGCTGTCTCAACTCCATACAAATTTGAGTTAACTCTTACGCGATCGAGAGCGTTAAAAAACTCGCACTAAGCACACTGAATTCGGGATTCAAATCGATTACGCGAACGCTGCGGCGAAAACCGGTACGCTTTGATACTCCGGTCCCGACCAACGAGTCGCGATTGGGACTCAGCTGTCCCATCACTAATCAGTTCAATACTAATGGCCGAGTGACCGCGTGATTGCTCACTTCCTGCAAAGCCAGCGTTTCCCTGGCTATAATTGATGCATTACCGCTCATTGACGAAGACATGAAAGAATTACAAACAAAATGATGCATTTGTTTTTTGATCTTTTCTAACTAAATTACTGATGGTATTTGTAAGGACGTCTGGATTTTATTTTTGTCATTGCAAACAAACGAACCTTGGTCCTTCTGATAGGAGCTGATCAC